CAATATAAGAGCTTTGTGCACAACAAAAAATTTTAAAAAATTATACTTTTTTGCAAACTCGTGTTGAAAAGGATAAGGTATAGGTTTTCCTATAACGCATATGTTTTGGCAAATATATAGTGCATCGAAACGGCTTTGATATAATCATATAAAAATGAACGTACCGTGCGACAAAGAAAGGGTATAAATTGTGCGTGATATTGTGCAATAGAGACGTAGTGATATATTAGTATTAGCTATAGTATCAGCAATGTTGTTGCATATTCGAAGTATCGTTGTGTAATTCATACGTTTAATAAACAAATGGTTAACGTATAGATGTAACAATTTAAGAAAAAAACAAACGGACATACTTCGTCCAATGGGTTGGCCGCTGTTGTAGGTTTATAAGAGGGATAATTTAATTTATATCCGTAATGCAACGTAAATTGCTAATGAAATACGAATCTGAGTGATGTTCTGAAAGGCCATATATATTTACGATTTGAAAATAATACATTTCGTAAATTTTCCGGTTTTCCTGCGTTTTTTCCCATATAACTGTGAAAAACTCTGGATTAAAAATGACCTCCTTGAAGTATCACCCCGGTCAGATTTCGTATCGGAAAAAGAACTACATTTGAAAATCCGAGCAAAATTTCTGATAGGAAAAGTTGTTCGCAGGAAAAAATAACATAAACGTCATTGTAAAACCAATCTGTTCCTGCCTCACCTCGGAATCTAAAATATTTAACGGTAAAATACCTAAAGAGATTAAACATACGGAATTTCCGCAATGGTCGGGAAAGAAAACCGACGACGAATTCGCAAAAAAATTTCCCCGAGAAAATCGACGCAACGTGAAAATGGATCGCTCTGTACATATTATATAAATATAATATTATGCCGATAACCGCGGACGGTAATGATTGAAAAATGATCGGCGGCGGTGCCGCGGATGACGGGCGTGTGGGGAGGAACGCGATGCAAAAGCGAGAGGGCCAGACAGACGCGTATAGTTTGGGACGGTGGGAGGTACGGGAGTATCAACGGTGGCTCGGAACAACAGTTTTCCCGGGGATACATTTCCCGTCCAATATAATATAACATATATATGTATTCGTGTTTGTCGCCAATGAACGGAATCCGTAGAAAAGTCAACGGCAGCGGCGCGCACACGCCGTCAAACGCAATATAATAATATAATGGGCTACACGCGCGCGGTCCCTTTTACATTTTACAATATTGTTGCCATAACAACGGTCAAAAACCGACGGCTGACTGGCCAACTGCAGCGGGCCACAGGGATGACTGCGCTGTCCGCCCCTCCTTCCGGGCGAAACGCGAAGGGCACGCGTACACACCCTCGCGCGAATAATAGCGTTTCCCTCAACTGCACCCCTCCAGCTCGATAAAACTCTGTGTATTATTCTAATATACATGTCGGTGTATATACATATTTGTATACCTACCGTTTATTTTATCTAAATTCAAAAAAAAAAAATATTATACTGTATACACAATATTATTACTACATATACAATATGTTTTTGCTACACTGCTCTGCGTTTATAAAGTATACCCTTTACCTGCCCGTAAAACTCGTACGGATTCTTATTTTATTTTTTTCGTTGTTAATTATTTCCACCGTAAAAGTTAAGAAATGTTAGAAAAACTGAAAAAAAAAAAACAAATAGAACCTCGGAATTTTCGAAAGTTTCATATTTACATCATTGTAATAATTGTATAGATGTCATAGACAGTTGTGTATAACTGCACGATGGAATATAACGATTTACTATTTTATTATATTATTATTACGTTATTATATTTTGCGGACATAACAATATTTGATTACAATAGCATTTGTTTTAATATTAGCTTATTATTTATTATGTGGAGGACATTCGAATTTCTCGTATAGGTAACTATTTAATAATAACTAGTGCTCGGAAGTTCTAGGAGCTAAAAAGCAAAATATGTATGCAAATATGCACGAAAAGATTCTAAAATATGCATGAAAAAATTTTAAATATGCAAAAAATCTAATAAATATGCAAGAAATTATTTCAATTTAATATTTAAAAATAAATAATGGCATTAATAATATGAACAAAAAAATATTTTTTTTTTTTTTTTATTAGAATATTTACAATCTGTATTACATGACACAATAAGTAAAATAGATAACTGATATAACACTATATACATACAAAAATAAAAAAAAAATACACATGAAGCACATGATGAGGGAAATCATCCAGCGATGGTACCTTTTAGACAAAAAAAAGATAAAGATTAAATACGAATCGCACCGTTGTTATTAAATTAATAATAGACTGAGACGGTAAGAAATAACAATAAATAAATAGGTTAAATAATATTGAGTTTTAAATTTAATATTATTTAAAATAAATTGGTTAAGAGAGAAAAAAATCAACTTTTTAGAAAATATTAAATATGCAAAAATTAATGATAATCGACGAAATATGTACTTTTTCTTTAAAATTAAAGAGATATGCAAAATATGCATTTTAAATGTTCAATTTTTAAACTCTCCATAGTAGGTATAGAAAGTATTTCTAGCTTGGTCTCCTAGCTATAAATTCAATGCATATAGAAAAATGTGCAACTTCTATAACTTCCAAGCCCTAAATTAAGATCTATAGGGAACAGCGATTTATGTATGTAGGTAACATTTATTCAGATTTGGTTGTTTCAATATTTCCGAGTTATACCTGCAGCTATATTTAGCATTTGGTTTAGTAGTCAATAATTGTATGCAAATATAATAATTTTTTTCACACACCTATATAATAAATATGTACATACAATATTGAAAAATCATTAAAAATCACGGAAATTATCCATTAGTAATATTTTCGTTTTAAATTATTATTTTTCAATGGTTTAAATATGATTTACGTATAATATATCATAATTGGCATTAAATTAAATTGTATATATATATATATTCAGTCCGATATATTCGGAAATATATATTCGCTAAATTTCGATTTTATAATACATACATAATCATTGATATAATACACGCCTAAAGACTCCATATTTATTTAAGAATAAAAAAAAAAAATTGTAAATTATAAAAGTTAAAAAAAAAATAGTTAATACTGTTTATGGACGTGCCACTGTTGTAGGTTATCAATTGGGATAGTAAGATACATAAAAATAACAACATACGATTTTAAGCGAAATTCGGTTAAACATATATGCTTTGAAATGCAACGATTTTTACGATTTTTGTCAACATTTAAATTTAAAATGCTTACAAAAAAAAAATATATTACATCATGCTCCAAATTTTTTTTAACATAAAATAAAACTTACGATGAACTACTTATTGCATTTCTGTTTGACCAAAACTATTTAATTCTCATACAATTAAATAATAACAAAAAACGTCAAATACTTATAAATATATAGATCAAAAATTAATTTTTTTTTTATATTTCAAAATATTTCGAATATTTTACTATCTATAAAAAAGGCTTATACCTACGTATTTTGTGCAAATTTCAGATTTTTAAGATTATTTTAACCGTATGACAACAAAAAACAAAATCAAAAATAATATATAGCCGTTATTTTCATAAACTTTCTCATTTTCCCATATTTTCATATATTAAGAAAACTACATAAAAAATCAAAACAAATTACCTTATTAATGTACCTACGGAATACAGCATTCGACAAAAAAGCTTTCTTGTTATCCGTTTGGAGCAAGATTTCTAGTAGAAAAGTTAAAAAAATAAAAAAATACATTTCTCGTTCCACTCAGAATATAAAAAAACACGCATAGGAGTAAAACCAATATATTCATCGTTGCACTCAAAATTTAAACATGTATACTACAGGTATATACAAAATTCAATGGAAATTGTTTTTAAAAAACAACTTTACATTGCTCTTTACATGGCCTTTATATTTACAGAAAATTATTACCTACCTACATTTTAAATTGTTTCATAATCAGGCAATCCATGTGTGTTCCTTATTAAAAAAGTGTACACATCTGATGTACAATCTACTATTCTGATGGGACATATAGAATAATTTCTTATTTTATAAATCTGTGGATTTTGTTAAATTTGTTTTCATTGGCCTGAAATATTAACATAATATCATTAGAGATAAAATATATTGTATGTTATCTTTTTAGCTCGTTTGAAATATACGAAAATATAGATAAACATATTACTTTATATTTCTCATATTTGTAATCACAATGCTTTCATTCCTCTCGTGAAACATAATGAGGCTAGTATTTTCTCATCAACTTTATTTTTTTTCATCTTAAAATACACAATTAATTGATTTAATATATAAAATGTACAAATTATTATGGCTCCCATTAAGCATGCGAACAAAATAAGATAAGTTAACAAAAGAAAAAGTAGGTATCTATAAACTCAACTTGCGTCAGTTTGTTTATTAAATTTTTCCCCATAAACATAAAATATCTAAAACAACATTAAGTAGGTATAGATAGTAAACTCAACCGTAATAGTTATCGCGATATTGGAAAAAAAAATGTATTTACCACTATGCTAATTTTTGTTTTGTCAATATTGGGATTTCTATGTATCGGTTTTTATCTGTGATCGTTTAATAATAACGGTTAGTATAAATAATATATATAAGGTTATGTATATTTTTTTAACATAAGGGTCGAATTTTCGTCAAAAGTAATGTTTTATATATATGTATGCAATTTAATAAACCGCGTAAAAGTGATAATAGAAAACTCTAAAATAAATTTTTAAAAAAAAAAGAAGAAAAAACGCTATAACGGATAAGATACAACGAGTAAATTGACTACACGCCTATCATCTACGCGTATTATTATGTATTGTATTTATAAGCTTGTGTGTGCGCGTGTGTGTGTATTTTTTTTTTACTACATGCGCAAAACATACATTTGTTTGATATATTTTGTAACGTGGCTTTCAGGGGAGGAAGCGGTATGGCCGGGGGTTGAGTGGGCGTCAGTACGGGGTTCGATGGATTGGTGCGCAGGTGGCGAGGATCTGCTGGGCGACCCCACGCTGCTGGTGGCTGCAGGTATGTTGCACGGGCCAACGCAATTCTGTACAGACACTTGCTGTACGCCAGGACTGGAGCAGCCCAACGATCACATCGTTCAGTTCCAACAGCCCGCAATCGTCACGGTCGGCGGTTCGTACAGGTAAATAATGTCAATCTATTGTGGATAGTAAACATTTCGTAAATTGAACGATTTTAGCTATTAGGTACGTTTTTAGACTTAAGTATATTCGTATAAGTTCTAAAACAAGCGAAGCACGTTTGGGCCACTATTAAAACTACAACCCGTTAGGACCAATACTTGTAAATTTCTATAAAGGCTCATTAAATAAACGTTCAGTTAAATTAATATAGGGTCCAAACGGGCTGTATAAAAGTAATATTTTTCAGCCCAAACGGGTCCTGCACATCTAAAACGCCTCGCCTCTACTTAAAAAAATATACATTCGGTGTATTTGGGTGCGTTTATAAATTTAAATACTCGAAGTCGGTATGCATCTATTATTAAATATCATTAAAAATTAAAAATTATTTATTAATACGCGCGGTGTTAAATTTGAACTTTTTATATAGGACCGAGAAAACCATATTGAAATAGTATTTAGAAATAAATGAAAACAAAATATCGAATAACGTTTTTCAGTTAAATAGTTTATCGTATATTTCTCATATAATTAGGTACATAATATATATATTTATGATTATATTATTTTTCCCTTATACCCAGAAATAAACAAAAAACAAAAAAAGCACCTAAGGGGTGAACTGCAGAACATTTAAATAAATTTTAAAATACGAATCGGATAAAATACCTTTCGAAAAATTCCACATTTTCAGCAATCTAACCCTTAATATAAGGGTTGATTTATGATTAATTCGTCATTAATTTATGTTATAATATTGGTCAACTCACAACAGTAAACTTGTATGTATTCTAGTAAATCTTTGAACAAAATTATCCTGGTTTATAAACTGTAAATAGTTTTGATTAGTGTAAATCGATTACTTGTCTAATATTATTATGGTTTGATACAGGCATACAGATACGTACAAATTAAGATGGGTAATAGGTACCTAAATTTTGTACGAAACATTATTTTTATCATCGATATAACTTAGCACAACGTGGCTGGTTGTAGGCATTTTTACTATTTGTAATTTTGTTTTCATAAATGCAATTAGCATTTTAATTTAGGTACGTGTGTAAAATATTATCAATACAATAAAATGAAATATAATATTACTACAGTTGAAAAGAAATTATATGATTTGGATAGGAGATTCCCGAAAACTTATTTTGAGACATAATATTTGGAATTTATCACTATTGTTATGATGGTGATTATACGAGTATTAAATCACATTTTACCAAACAGTTCGGTATTTGATTGTATTTTTCTGAACAGTCACTAACGGTATGTTTATTCGAACGTGTGGATAGGTATTGTATCCTAGTTGTTATTCGTAATGTATGTACATAATATATAATTATTTTCTACATATTTTCTAAAGTATTTATTTTAGTTATTCATGTATTTTAGTAGATATTTATTTCAACTACTCTCTAAACAAACAATAATTTTTGAAAGCAATGGCGATTTAAAATGATTTTCATAAAACTTTTTATACTTTTATTATCGTTTCGGCGAAGTTTTTTTTATATTTCAAAGTTTTAAAACGGAATCGTTTTTTTAATATTCTAGTTGAATAAAAACAAAAGTGTACTGGATTCATATTCGTATTATCCGAGAATCACGTCCGCTATTTATTTATAATATTTTAACTTAAATTAAACTAACATTTCACACGTCAATATTGTGCAAAATAATGCAAACAACGAATACGAAAACAAATCGGGTAATGATCGATCAAAAAAGGTAAATATAAATAATAAATATGAGATTTAAAAAATGTAAAAGATGCTTTCGGTAATTGTAATTGTTGTTTAGAAAACAAAGACAATAATTGTATAAACCAAAGGAATTTATATTGGACATTAATTTAAGTTTTAATTTTAATTTATAGATTTACCGCAGTAAACTTTTAGTTATTAGTTTATTAGCTAAATATAATACAAATATATGCAATATACGGGCGCCCAGAAGGGGGCATCTGCCCCCCCTGAACTTCAACATATCAAATATAATTTTATTTCATGTACTTTTTGATGTTTGATTTTATTATGCCCCTCCCTGATAAATTTCCTGCGGACGCCCATGATGAAATATATTATTAATACTTCGATTTGTTTATTACGTACCTACCTATTTTGTTATTGGGTTTTTATTGGTAATAGAAAATAATTCATTGTGCCATTGAAAGGTGCCCTGAAAAATGTAATTTTTCAAATATTATTCAAACTATTTACACTTGATACTTGCATTTACTGTATCAGTCCAACTAACGGGCAAAATAACAAACTAACGTTACATTAATATTGTGAAATTGGTAATTTAACACAAAAATAATAACATTTAAAGATGAGAATAATAACGATTGCTGAACGTAGCTTTTTTCTAAAAAATTGCCATACAAAGTTATGGCTTTTAAAAAAAAAAAAACATAACTAACATATGATTGAAACTATTTGTAGTGTAACGATTTATTAGAAAAAAGCTAAATAAAGCCTTCGAAAATATTCTTTTCTTTAAAGTTTGTTATTTATGTTTGAACTCCGCATTTTTAACGCCGCAATTTATGCTCTGAGTAAATAGTCATTTTAATATACGTTGAGCCGAGACAGTAAATGCGGGTATTACATTGTCTTAAAAGTATTAAGTTCGGTCATTTTTAAATAATCATCATATTTCTATTGGTATTTTCCGACACTATAATCATAAAATAACTTTCTATGCTCCGAATCTGCAAATATGTGTGTAACTTAAGGTTTTATGTTCAATAATAATGTATTCTCATTAATTCGAACCTGCAGTAATAAATAAAAACTATCAGTTAAAAATAGAAAATCAAAAATTCTAATAAATTGAAGTACCTGCTATAATGGATGGTGACGGTGAAATGTTTAAAATGCTATAAATATTCTATAATAACTATAAATTAAAATTATCAGATAATTGCTAATATTTATAATTTAAAAAAAAGAAAACTTCCCGCGTATTGTGTTTTAACATAATATATTATTCACGCTGCTTATGCGTTGCAAAAAATATTATAATTAATCATCACGCGAGAACGTGTAAAAGTTAATTTCGAGTTTCTTATAATACATATAGGTACACATCAATATCATAATCAAACTTTAAATTTAAGAAAGGGGCTAATATTACTGATCGAGGTGCGCCTCTGTTGTGAGTGGAAAGTTGAGAAGGTTGAATACATAAAGTTATTTAATTTATATTTGTAAGCAATGATAAAAAATTACTAACGAAAACGATTCTAAGCAAACAAGGTCTGATTAATGAACTTGCCACCAGTAGGCTGAAGAGGTTGATTTGGCGAAGACCGTTCCTTAAAAAAAAGTTGTTTTTATGCGCTTCCACACATTTAACGGCGGTCTAGGCAGCAGCAGCCTATTGGTTAATCAGATCCTGGTCATAGTTACGTCATGTTTTAAAACGTGTTAATCAACTCAAAAATCACTCGAATGTTTTGAAAATTGTACCACGTTTAGAAAAAGCAAATATAATTTTTTCTGTTAAAATTTCAACTCTTTACGAATATTTTAAACTGAATTACAAAAATAAAATAAAATTTAAAATAATAAAATTATTGTTTTCTTAAATTTACCTGTTTTTTCTACGTTGTTTTCGGTTTTGCTCAATTATTAAAAACCAAGGAAAATTAAAAAACGACTCTTACTCATTTGCAACTAGATTAAAAATTCAACAAAATACGTTACCTGTCGTTTTTTGATTGAAGCAAGATTTCTGGTAGAAACCTTAATTTTCGTTATTTAATAATATTACGTGTCCGTTATTATTTTACGTTTTTTTTTTTTTTTTTGGTTTTTCCTAATTAATATGAAAACCGCTTGGAAAATCAAAAAATGACGTACTTTGTGAGTGACTTGATCCCAATGCACTTGATAAAATTTCCTTTTATAAAAGGTCTTACACTTAATAAATCAGAGCAAGTTTTCTGTTCAAAAAATTGCTCTTAGAAGCAAAAAATTAAAAAACACATATCATAGTAAAACCACTAAAACCAATAGATCCTCCTTCGCTACGTTCCGAAAGTCAAACAAAAAACAATTATTTAATTTTAGTGAGACCCAGTTCAACAATATTATAATATAATCAATAATATTTCAACAGTATTATATCCATAGTAGTGTTGTATAGTTTCTATACAACTAAGAATTTGATCACAAAAAAAAATGTATTATTTTTAAATACCAGTACGCGTATACGTATAGTACCTATTTTCGCCATAATATATACCTAAAGGCAAACCAATATTATATCATTTTGATATCTATTAATATTTATTATCATATTGGATTATACATTTTCAGTAAACCGTGTGGAGACATGGCCGACGTATTGCTGTCACTTAAACACACCGTGTCAACTCCGCAATCCTCTTCAGGCGAACAACAACAACAGCACAATCACACGTACGCGCTGTCGACCAACCATAACGTAAGGGCACATTATTACGGTTCATATTAGCGCGTCACCTCCCTCGCGTAAAACGTAATTGGATGAAACTTATAAACTTACGTATGTCTGTAGTATGATACCTCAATATCTGAACGTAAAAATACCTAGGTACCCGCTAAATTATATTCATTTATAACTTCAGTCCTAGAAACTAGCTGGTACCTAGAGGGGGAGACATTTTCTGAGTGATTTTTTCCTATAATATTAATACCTGTTTACATTGATTATGTTTATTTTGGAAATCGAATAGACATAATTAATTAAAATTATAGGTACTTAAGAAATTGAAATTTGTTTATTGGGCGGTAATCATAATAATTAATTAATTGTACGTCTCACATTATGTACCACTGTTTTCTTTCACTTTGCTTTTCAGCTTTCTAGACAAAAAACCATGCTCTACAGGGCCTCATATTTCATAGACTGGTACGGTTTGGATATTTTTTTGGGAAAGTTGAAGGCTTCTTACTGGACTTGGATTTTGAAAACTATATTTTCAAACGCTATAATTAGAGTTTGAATATAAATTATTTTTACTAATTTATAGCTATAATTTGTATTAAAGGGCTCAGACCGTATATTTTTTAATAAATAAAACTATTTTTTTTGTAGATTTTGGTTACATATTTTTAAAAATCAGAGATCAGTTGTCTTTAAAAAAAAAAAAAAAACTAAATCGGAAGTTTCTGTGAGGCTGCAGTAAAATTAACTAAATAAACAATGTTTTGATAAAAAAAAAACAGGCCATGCACGAGCCCTTAAATACAAAAAAAAAAACCGATTGAAAGATTTGTTAAAAATTGTTTATTCTTTTTATTTATACATTTTAACAATTTGTTATCAGACGTTGATACAATTCAATAAATAACAAGAGTAAGACTATTAAAAGAATACGATTAGCGCATGTCTAATTTTCTGATTCCAACCTGTTTGCTTCCCCTTTTCTCTAAAAATTACCATCCGAAATCACTTAAATTTAAGCCTTTAAAATGTTGCCGTCTGGGGTGAGAGGGTTTGCTCTTCCATCCATCACTATAAATGCGCCACTGATTGGATGATAAATAAACCGAGTGCGGTGTATTATAGTTGCATACCTTATTATGTTTACAGGACGATTCCCAACCGTTAGTTGATTATGGAGGTTCGTCGTACGGAGATCAGACGTGCTGGACCACGCTTGGCGGTCACCAGCAGCACCAGGTCCAACAACACCAGTTCCCCAGCATGAGCGTAAACGTTAGCATGAACATGACGATGCACGGGTATGCTCCCATACACGGAGACGCGCAGTTTGGATGTCAACCGGTAAAAATTTTTAATTTCGTATAATATGATTGTATGTGCACAACAATTTTATATGTCACACGTACATTATATAGAGCTGGATTGGTTACAGCGGCAGAAAAAAATTTCCGGGAGGCTAAGAATGTATAATGACACCAAAACAACATTTGCATATTAAATAACAACACGGTTATCAATCGAAAAAAAATAAAAGACACAGGGATAAGGGTAAAGGGGTGTGAGGTGTGCCCATTTTTGGAAACATATTCATTAAGGGCGAAGTTTCTTCACAGCCACATGGACTACATTTGTTTTCAATCGTCCTGTAGGTACTTTCGATCTTTTCCCATTAATATTTTCCGATACTGAAATTTTTTGTCACCGAATGGATCTTAACACTCAAAGTAGGAACCGCCGAATGTATGGTACCATTATCTCAAAATTTAAAAACCGAACTACTCTGCCCAACTGCTCACGTGTGTTCTTCAAACAATTTATTGGAACGTCCCTCTGAGATTCACACCCGAATACAACAGAAAATACAAATCGATCAATGTATGCGTTTGTATTATTTTTGGTTAAATTAAAAGTAAAGGTAGGTGCGTTTAATCGGTTTAAAGAGTGCCGCATACTACATCTAAATATCAGAACGAAACTGTCACGTCGGAACAGTGACGGATCCAGAATTGTATTTTGGGGGAGGCAATTAAAAAAATCATTACTAAACATAAAATAAAAGGCGATACTGAGGATGGGTGCAGCCACTGTTTTAATCGGGAAATCGGGATGGATGGATACACAAAGTTATTTAATTTATATAAGTAAGCAATGATAAACCATTGCTAACGAAAAACGATTTGAAACTAAGTTCGGTTATGGATGTTTTGAAAGTCCGTAATATTTACGATTTTTATTAAAATTTGAATTTAAAACTCTTATAAAAAAAAAAAAAAAACCATATTACCTCAATTTTATTTTTTTATCACTAAGTATAACTTGTAATAAACTTCCTGTTTAGTTTTTAAGCATTTCTGTTTAATCTGATAATTTTATTCACAGAGTACCTATCGAATAAAAATTATGTAAAAACTCTTAAAATTAAAATAGTCTATAAATAGCTGAAAATGGCTTAAATGTTTTGAAAAATGTATTTACGTAAATTTGTACGTTCTTCCTACATTTTTTTCGGTTTAACTCAATAATCAAATAACCGTAGAAAAAAAACATCAAAAAACGACTTTTTTAATCACTAATTAGATTAAAAATTCAACAAAAAAGTTCTCGTGTTGTTTTTCTATTTGAGTAATATTTTTGGTAGAAAACAAGCCGTACAAATTTAAATTAAAGGAATCCTAACCCCGTAAATTTATCAGTTTTTATTTTTTATCTTTTTTCGGTTTTTTCCAATTATTTTAAAAACTCATTGGAAAGTCAAAAATTCCCACTCTAATGCAACTAGATGAAATTTCCTGTCAGAAAAAGGCACTACACTCTGTGCGAGATTTCTTTTCGAAATGTTGTTTACGAGCAGCAAAAAAAAAAAAAAAAAGAAAAAAAAAGGAACGGTAGAAAGGTTTTGATATAAAATTGAGTTTTACTGATTTTTAACTGCAGTACAAAATAAATTAGAACCGTCCGTGTATTTTCATCTCAAGAGTGATAATGGCCGTGATGATTACAATTATCATACGATCGTGTATATTATGTACGATTGATTTTTGTTAGGGCAAAAGTAAGCAAGTGCTTATATGGTCGTCATCCGTTCTTCGCTTCTGCTGTAGTTCATTGATTATTAGAAAAACAAAAAATTAAAATATCGGGTGTGGCTTCGATAACACTTAACGATCGTTCGATCAGAATTCCGTTCCAACGTAGTGTGTGGCAAGCTAAGCACGTTTAAATTCGTAATTATTACTATTGTGGTAGACTAAGCCGTTTACAGATAAACTTGCACTACATTTAAATTAACTCTCGGTTTCAATTTTAGTACAATAATCATTTCTAGGGTACTTTTTTTTTTTATATAAAGCAATTACCATAATTTGGAGTTCAAATTAGGGTGCAACGCGCAATTTATATGAACCGTTTCCTTAAAATCGAGATTGTTTGAACCTTTCGCATCTGTCTATCGTTTTCCGATCAGTCCACGGAATCCATATAAAATATTGGAAAAAGCTGCTCTATTGACTTGATGCTGCAGACGGGACAAATATCGCTGGAATTGTTTACACATCATTGTATTATATTGTTTTACAGGTCGGATGGACGACTCTGCCGTCATCGCCGTCGCCGGTTCACCACCATCACGGTCCAACACACCATCACCAAGGATTGCTGAGTCCGCTGGTGTCCATGGGCTCCGGTTACCCGCCGGGCGCTACTTATTCGTTTACGGCCGACTTTCGACCACAAGACTCGTCACCCCTACCGCCACCGCCGTTCGCGTGCAACATGCAAACGGTACCGTCGGCGCCCGGGGTCGACGAGGATTGCAACAAAGACCGAAAACTCTGCTCCGAAATCCTTATGTCTGCGGGCAGTGTCGGCGGCAACGGAAATGGCGGTGGGATGGGCTTGGAGTGTTCTCCCGTTGGAACGGTTTTGACGATCGGCGGCGAAGACGGCTGCCGGCCAAACTTGTGTGGGATATGCGGTAAGACGTACGCACGGCCCAGCACGCTAAAGACTCATCTTCGCACACATTCGGGTGAAAAACCGTACCGGTGCGACGACTGCAACAAGTCGTTCAGCCAAGCGGCCAACCTGACGGCGCACGTGCGTACGCACTCCGGCGAAAAACCGTTCCGGTGTCAGATTTGCGACCGACGATTTTCGCAGTCGTCGTCCGTCACCACGCACATGCGCACCCACTCGGGCGAGCGGCCGTACCGGTGTCGATTGTGCAAAAAGGCGTTCAGTGACTCGTCCACGCTCACAAAACACCTGCGAATACACTCGGGCGAAAAACCGTACCAGTGTAAACTTTGTCTGCTCCGGTTCTCCCAGTCCGGCAACCTGAACAGACATATGCGCGTGCACAGTGGTATGAACGGTGCCGACATATTATTGCCTGTATGACGATGGCGGACCTCAACCGGTCACCATCATCCCCACCACCAATACCAAGTGGTCGACCACACCGGCAACTGTTGTTGGTACGGCGGTGACCACACCATCAAATCCGAACCACTCTAAATGACAAATATTAAATATAGCGTCGTCACTTCAGACACGAAATCATCAACCGATGATTTTGCGATGAAGTTCTGCATTTTTTGTTGTAAAGCCTTCACCATGACGACGTCTCGCGCTTGAAGTAGAAACATAATAGTATACAGTATGGACCACAATCCATGATGTTGAATCCAGATACATGTCAGGAGGCGATAGCCCACCTTGTAATTTTGTTCCCCGCCCTGTTAAATTAATAATTAAATAATTAAATTTAACTGGTCTTAATAAGAGGTCAGTTAAGCAAAAAAAAAAAAAAATAAAAAAATAGCTAATTTTAGTGATCCCCTCCTCCTTTTTTTTTCAAAAAAATTGACTGAATTCAACATTGACCACAGTGGTATTGTATCATATTAATCAGTGGTTAAAGTGGGGAAAACTTCGAAGAGGGACTTAACAAAAATTGAGGGGCGTTCCCAAAACCAAACCCAACTTTCGGGAAACTCATAATGGAGACAAGTTTTCAAAATATTTTTATCTCATACACATTGGTTCATAAAATTTTTTATATTAATAGGTTTTAAAATAAACTGTCCTCTCCCATAAATTATTATCTTACGCATATATGCCCACTCATTTAAATTAAAATATAACGGACCCTGATTAGGTACGTCTAGTATCTTAATAGGTAATAAAGAATTAATATTTAATTTTACTGATTTGGGGTTCTAAAATTTCATTAAAAATGAGAGAAATTAACTAAGTATTTCTCGGACTTTGAAGATTTAAACTTAACGGAACTGATAATTTCACTCTGATTAAGAAAGGAGATCCCCCCCCACTTTAACCACGAGTGTTAACTATTATAATATAAGCACATACGTGAAAACCCGTGGTCTACAAACAACTCATATCGTATATTCATAATATATTATAATATTATCTCCCGACAAACTCGACGTAAAAATATTGTATTAATCATTTAATAATCATTTAAATAATCAAAGGTTTTGTAAAAAAAAAAATACATAACCGTTCAAATTTCAAACAATGTGAAAATAAATTTTTATAATTATTATAATAATATAATCCTCTCATTTGCCATACGCCTGCTTATGTATTACCTATACAGGTATCCCCGCATATATATACACACCCCCGCATCAGATTTAATCATATTATGATATCGTTATATTGTGTACCGCTGTTACACAATTCCACATTGTTTCATGACACTTCACTGTACAACAACAATAACGCGTTTAGATTCGATAAGATATGGACCTACTTACATAGAACTGATCGACACGCACACACATTGATTTCAAAAATATTGTTATATGTATACAACTGTATAGGTAAATAGTGGTTTTTGATATTGCTTTAAATTGTTTTTTCGTGTACCTACACATAAAACATTATTTTATAGTAAGAAGTAACCTCCGAGTTGACCGCGTATGTATAAGTACCAACGCGGATTTTTAAAAACTCATCATAATATAATTTCGAATTTAATATCGTGCAGATAGGTATCACGAAGTTTGTATACTATATAGGTGATATTTGGCGATGTATTTTTAAGCAATCTGGTTACAAGTTTAGCGAACGGGCTGTTATGACATTTTTTACTGCGACTATTTATTTGACAACTGAACGCACTTTTCGACAATCGGATTGCCGGAATTCTCAAACACGTAAAAACTGCGTTTACTGTTTTTAGTTCATGGTTATCTATTGATAAAATTGTATAATACTCTACAACAAACAAAACGTTTTGGGTATATTATATTGAAATAACAAGCCACAACAAAATTAAGCGTCTAAACACGCCTTATATTATTGCAAATAGATTTCTAGACAATTTATAAGATTACATAAATGCATGCTATAGGTATTAAAACAATAGATTATTGTTTGGTATTTATCAATAATTAAACAAGTACACTTAAAAAAACGAAATATTTTTGTAGAAATTATACATTTATACCTTTTTCAATATAAACGTTAAATTATCTACACAATTGTAAATTCATACACTTTTTTAAAATTTCGGGATGGGGTCGAACCCCTTAAACCCCCATCCTGTGTGCGCACCTGTATAAAATTATTATTGTTCTCATTTTATAATCGACTTATTATTATTGTATATACGTTTAGACTCGACTGCAGCTGCAGACTATAATATTATTATAAGATTTTCTTTTTTATTCGCTTATCTAGAAAAGATTTTTACAGCACAATATTAATAATATGAGTGAACTGTTAACACTTATAAAAATATGCACTGTTAAAAATAGATAACTATTTCATATAAACATATTATTTAAAAAAACAGTTTTAAGACTATTTAAAATATTCATGATGAGCGTATGATTTTAAATCTTAATTTAGCGTAGTTCTTTTCTACTTGAATAAAACAGATATTATCATTTTCTGACGAATACCTACCTATAGTTTATAGGATCAATAAGGCCGGATTAAAGGACCTGTGGTTTACGGGGCCGAACTTCAAATAGGCACTTTTTACTGAAAATATGAAAATGGTCTGGGTACACTACGAAATTTGCTAACGCCCAATGAACATTTTATTTTATATAAATAAATAAACAATGACACAACGAGCAACTTTTTGTATCCGTTGGTTCAGTTAGGTAACGTGTACCCCTTAATTCGGGCTGGAACCTAGAAACAAATTTGAAGGTATTGATAAGAAAAAATTTAGAAAACTGCAATTAATTTTATTGCGTTTGAATGTAAATCGGAATTAATATATTTTCATGTATATTACACAATAAATATAACCTATACTTAATAATTATTTTAAAATTTAAAATTATAAATGTTTTATTATTTTCGCTTAATGTCTGTAATGTTTTTGTCGACGCAAATTGATTATGTGTATAGACATTGTAAAATTGTAAAACGATAACGAATCATATTCGTAATTTTAATTTAAATGTAATATTATTATAAGTTATAACAGTTTTTGTTTATTATATAAGTTATATACCTAGTATATGCAAAATCAATTTACACATCATTTGTATGTGTGTTTTTCGTGTCATCATTATTTTTTAAATTTTAAATTGTAATACCTAATATTATTGTACCAATTTAATCTAGTCAATGTATTTTATAACATTATGTAATAACATATTATACCTATACCTAATAATATTTAGAAACATTAAACAACATTGTAAATACGGCTATAAAAGCGAAAAATAATATACTTATGTGAGCGGAACTGCAAAATGCATAAAATTTAAAAAAATATTTGTTTTGGTTTTACATTCTGTGACTTGTTATAAAAACGTTTTGCCCCAATTACCTAAATTTAACCATTATTATATATTATAATATTACTGAACACTTTAGATACCTACCTACTTATTTTTTATCGCCTCTTATATTATGACTATCGTGATTCCTATTTTGAATTTTATCCCGACCCCGGAATAAACTAGTCTTAAGTTTAAAGTTCAAAATATATATACACTATAAACCAAATAAGTTCATATTTCATTTCAATCATTCTGTTTTGTATTAAGTTTATATTTTAAATAAACTTGAACTTTAATTTTTAATTGGGCACTTCATTCCAAAATTTATGAGCATTTTTTTTGTAAAATTAATATTAAATATATTTCTATTGGTGGTTTTCCCACAACAGTGGCTTAGTCAGAGCCGTGAAGAGAAATCACTGCCTCTAGGATCAAATAATTAACCATTCTTAAAATCAAATATTAAACTTACCATTTACACCTAGCGTCGTTCTTTATAATGTGTTTGACAAAATGAAGGTTTAAGGTTCAGGTATAAGGTATTCAAAAGTATAAATCATATTGTTACCAACACATATAATATGGTACAAAGTAATTAGTGATTAATTACTACATTGTTAACATTTAATTTTTAATATAATAAACTACATTAAAACAATAATTACATTTAACTACAAATAATTTGTATCATATGAATGTAAAAATTAGGTAAGATATAGGACCTGGTTACTTTGGTTGAGCCTGGGCCCTTGGGGTTCAGTCCCGGTTATTCCCCCTTTTTATCGGACCTGGGCTTAATTATTATTACTTCAAATAAGCAATATATTTAATTGAATAATATAAAATCAAAATCTAAAGCCATGCAAAAATTATAGGTAATCTAACAAACAGCAAGTAGGATTCATATTTTTCGAAGTGATAAATAACATAATATAGGTGTGTGTACTTCACATTTTAAAGGGTAAAATATTTCAAATGTATGACAAATTACAAAACACAGACATTTTTTTTATACCATACAATATGTTTTCAAATGCCATGATTTATATGATTACCATTGAAAATTAATCTTAAAATATGTTATTGTACAATCGAGGTACATTAATTAAGCTCATTAAATTAATAATTCAAAATCATTAAATGATTTAATAATATATACTATATACTCTGTGCCTTACATGGGTTAAATTATGATGACCATTAAATATATAGGTACTTTAAATTCATTAAATTACAAATAATGACAACAATTTTTTAATATGATAATGGCATAGGGATTGAATACTTTTATTAACTGAAAGAAATTTAACAATTATGGAAAGTTGTAATTATTGATATAAAGATTGAAGATAATATAACATTACACATATTGATTTGTATATTATTTTAAATGATCCATAACCATGATGAACGAAAGATATTTTTACTCTCATGACTTTAACATACCAAGTACATGAAAAAAAATTTGATGAATAAACTAGCGGTGAATTGTTGGGCAGTGAACTGTCTACAATCCATCATAGGTCATGTGTATTAATAATAAGGTATGTATATGTTTTGTTTTAATTTGTTTGTACTTATGTATTATATTTTTATAATTTTTAACTTATATTAATTATAAGTAAAAAATGTTGATCCTTTAGATCTAATATGAAAATTACTTTTTGAAATAAATTAGTATTAAACATAGGCATGACTAAGAAACAGTTAATAAAATAGTGACTAGAACTGCACTCTATTTAAAAAATATAGAGAATCTTTATTGATTTTAAAATAGTACATTTTGGCCAGTTGTTGTACGAATTTATTTAATACAACATGTACACATATTTATAGGCAAACCTTTAGAAAGTCAAGCTATTCAATTATGTAACTATTACATTAATAAGATCTATTCATAAGTTTAATAATATTAAGTAACTAAATAATTATAATAAAATTAATCAACAAAACATATCTTTTGGAAAGCATTACTTATTTTATTTTAAGGAAACACTAAAAGTTTAAATAAATGTATTATGAGAATTAGCATAAAACTGTACATACCTGGTGTAAAAGGTAGAAACACCGATGACAATATACAGTAGGAACTTGTATTGGTGGTACAGCAAAACCAGTTTTTCAAGCACAGCATATTTCAGAAATTATATACAGATCAAATTAAATGAGCTTGATTAATAAATAACTAAAATCTATTTATTCTTATCCTGGTTTTTTCCAAAGCCTAAATCCAATCTTAATTATTTTCAAAGAATACAGTTTTCAAAATATGTTATTGTATTAATTATTTCATATATATAAGAAATGGGTGTTCAGTCTTTTTATAAGTGTTTCAATTTTTTATGAAACTCGTAGACACGACATTTTTGTACTACTACTACTAATTTAACATTTTACAATTATGTCCAGAATACGAAAACAATAAAAACAAAAATATTATTATAAGTACAATTTAAATAAATACAAGTATAATTATTGTTCCATGCAACACTAATATATTGTAATTTCTCAAATAAAATATTAAATGTTACACTTTTTTTTTTTTTATCTTTACAATTTCTAAAAAGAATAGTTAAAATTATATTTGATAATTTGTTTTAATTCTTTAAATATTATATATACAAATTTGAGTTTTAAAAAAAATTTGGCCCAGCTGAAATATTGCTTGACCGATTTTTACTTAACAGAAATACATAAATGTATAGTAATAATTAAATTATTCATAATTATTTTTTTTTTTTTTTTTTTTTTTTATCAAATTAAGAATTACATCACCTTTTGTTTCACTTAAAAACTAAAACAGAAATTGTTTCATTACAAAATATGTTGTTTTAATGACATTATACGACAAGTCAAAAAGCACATAACATTTATTGTTTTATCTTATATAAAAGATATAATTTAGTCATGTTTTCACACATTTATATTTTTTTTACAACTGGGACTTAAATTAAGTCTAATTACAACACAAAGTAAGTCTAAAAAAAAAAAAAATAAAAAAAAATTATATATATATATATATGTATACATATATATATTAATAATATACTTATTACAACTTTTCTTAAATGAAACTATATGAATTAAAAGGGTTTAAGAAATAGTTTTTCCATCAAAATTATATACAATATCCAACTTTCTTTCTGTATCATACTATGGTATTTGAGTTTAATTCTGATAAATGGTCCGTTAAAAAAAAAAAAATAATAATAAAATTATAAAACATTATGATCTATATAAAATATTATATATAATTTCCATGTGTTTAATGCATTGATATTATTGTACCTCAATTTTTTTCACAATATTACATATAAACATGTTGGTGAGCTGGTTTAAAATATGGATATTATGATAAATGTCTTTCTCTCAAAAGTTGGAAAATATGTTTCTTTTCCCTAACCCTGCCCAAATGTTCTGTCTTATGTGGACAATATTTCCGGTTTCATAATAATAAACAGTTAAACACACTTAACAGTTACAAATTCTATATGTAATAAACACTACTAAATTAATGTGATGTTGCTATTTACAATAAGTATATTTTAAATGTTTTTTTAAAAAAAATATATATATTTTTATGTTCTTTTAAATCCTGTAGAAGAAGCCCGATGCCACTATTTCTCCTCCCATTCAATTATAATATTTTTTTATTACTTGGTAAATAATACACCATTTTAACCATTAAACAAATTTAAAATAAAATTAATTTTGATAATTCAAATAGAAAATAAATGTCTGAATTATAAGTTTGTTTTAAATTAAAATGATTGCACCTTTAAAATTAATATTCAATACAAGAAAAAACAAAACAAGAATAATGAATAAGATTTTGGTTTTATTTTATATTCATTATTGTCTATTGAGCATTTTAAGACTCAAGGCGTCCAATTTTTTTGTTGCTAAAAATACCCATATCGGTTTAAAGGTGTCATTTTTATATAAAAATAACAAAAACTGTCATTAGAATATAACAATAGTTAGTTCTAAAGGCAAACTTTTCTTTTAAAATATAAGAATTAAAAGGGGATTACACATGCCTTTTAAACAACAGGCCTATACGTCAGGGACGGACTACTCTGGCTCACATTATTTGTACTGTCACGGTCGTTTTGTCCAGAAGTGTACGGAAGCTGGGTGTTAACAAACTACAAAAAATAAAAATAAAAATAAAAAATGGATCAATAAAAAAAAATTAAAAAATATTCCCGAAGCGTGTCAACAGTAAAGCATGGTCATGGAAATTTTGTCGCTAAGGGCGCAGCGACATTTTAAACACGGAATTCAAAACCCAGCTTATACATTAAAAAACCACCCCTAGGACGCCTTGAGAAATTGTCCATCAAGTACAAACATTTTTTTGTGCAACATAATATAAAACTGTCTTATAGTACAGGCCGCGCCCTTCCTTATAAATGCAAACACATGGTATTAAGCTAGACACAATTTTCATTATAATTTAGATTTGGAGTCCTTAGTATGTAACATTCATACATTTAATATAAATTAACAAACAGAACAAATGTGAGTTTTATTATTTTATGCACAATTATTTTTGTTATTATTAAAGGGTGCCAAATCTATTTAAATAAAGCAACAGTTTATAAAAAAATTGTATAACTGAAAATATGTAAAGTAACGACCAAACTCATTTGTTTACAACTAACTATAAGAATATATTTTAAAGTAAATCTGTTAAATCAATAAATAATTTAAATAAGAAAATAAAGAAGAGAAATTAAATTCATTGTTTTTCAGTTATTGTGAACAAGCGGATTGATATTTAATTTACTATTTATCTAGCTATATTTTGCGAAAGAATAATTTTTTAATACGATATATATATGTAATTTAAGATACTAGATTGCATATTTACATAAAAATATAAAATGATATGTAATAGTTATACAAAACAAAATAAGTTGGTCGATTATAAAAATATTAATTAGATTAAATTAATTCGTATATAAATAGTAAGTGTCACGTATAACTTAAATATAATCATATGAACACACACATATGTATGTATATATGAACAGATAAATAAATAGTGTTAATTATGTGATTTATACAAATATATATAGAAAACAATTTATTCAATAAAATTTTTAATTAATTAACAAAAACTAATTATAAATGTTTTTCCGAGGCACCCTTTAATAATTAACATGCATAGCAAAACAGTCACAATATTAGTAAAGCAAAATAAATACAAATAGCAACATCAAAATTATTAATTATTCTAAACCGATGTAAAAGCAATAACATGAAATTGAATTAGGAGATATGAAGTGAAAATTGTTCTAGATTATATTATCTTTCAGATAAATCTAGACATATTGTGATAGCCAAAGAATGAAATTACCCACTCAAAGCAATACACAATCCAGTGATATAATAATTTTTTATTATTGTTTCAACAAGTATATATTTAATATATGGTGTAGGAATAAAATTATAAATATTAAGTGTGAATTAGTTAAATAAAAATCTCCATATTCATTTTTAAATGGAGTTGAACCTTGTATGATTTTTTTTTAAAGTAAAATACAGTTCATGGAGTGTTGTGTTAAAACTAATTTGAACTTTTACAATAAATCTTTAGTTATCTTTTTTTAATACAATTATTTTAGATATTAAAATTTAATCTAAATAGATAAAAAAAAAAAAAAAAAAATCAGTGAAATATTTTTATGTAATAGGCCGGATGAATGGGAGTTAAACATACTCATTGATTACAGAGGAATGAGAGGTGACGGGGCAGATGATGCTCAAGGCACCGAATCAGCCCCACTACTGACTGACGGCAGTGTACTCACTAATGAATGTGGCAGAACTGATGCAGGTGGAGCTGATTGAGAGCTTGGTGGTGCTTGTTGTGAGGGTGGTGGTGGTGCTGACCCAGAACCAGGCACATTATCATGTGCAGTAGTAGAGTGCGCTTGCTGCACTGGTAATGCTCCTGCTCCAGTACCCGCGTAATATCTAAAAATATAGAAATATTAGTGAAATGTATTTTAATCACTTTTTCGATGTAAGACTAACCCTCCATTCATAGCATCAGGATTAGCTGCTGCGGCGGCTGCTGCAGCTGCAGCTGCTGCCGACGCCACACTCGCTACTGTTGATTGATGTGGATAGGTAGTATGGGCGGGAAAATACTCTTTATTGACACAGTTACGAAGACATTCAGGTATTCTACCTACAATTGCTCTACGAATTTCACTAGCAGCCATTTCTCTTAACTCTGTACAGCTAGCATCTGAATAAAATGCAGCATGTGGAGTGCATAATAAATTAGGGGAGTCTTTTAATGGTCCTAAAAATTAAATATATATTATTATAATTATATATTTTAAAATATAAGTTTATTTTGGTAGTATGTACCTTGAAGTACATTAAAAGGTTCATTTTCGTGCACATCCAAGGCAGCTGCTCTGATTCGTCCTTGTTTTAATGCTGTTGCAAGTGCATCGTCATCAACTAATCCACCTCGGGCTGTATTTACAAGGAAAGCTCCTAAAATAAAACATTTTCGTTAAGAATTCCTCATAACATTATTTAAATAAATTCTAATAAAATTATTACCTGGCCTCATTTGTTTAATGGTAAACTCATTTATAAGGTGATGATTGTGTTCATTCAAAGTACAATGTAACGATACACAATCAGATTGAAACAATAAATCCTAAAAAATTGATTTTTATATTATAATTAATTTATTAATATCTAAGTGTATTTATTAAAATATAAATCAAAGTTTACTTGAAGTGTATAAACTCGAGTCAAGCCTAAAGATTTTTCAATTCCATCTGGTAGATAAGGATCATAAAATATGACATTGAAGCCAAAAGCTTTTGCTCTCAATGCAACTGCTGAGCCGATGCGACCTATAATAAAAATAAATGTTTTAAATTAAAAACCTTAAATTAATATAATTTTTCCTATGTCAATTATTATTAATAAAACATATTACTGTTGTTATAGCTATAAATTACCTAAACCAACAATGCCTAAAGTGTCCCCTCGAATACGTGCACATCCTTGAGCAGCTTCTCGTACTTGTTCAGGACCAGTAAATTTTTTTCCTTCTCTAACCATTTGAGCTAACCAGTAGGTTCTACGATAAAGGTTCAAAATCAAACATAGTGTTGTGTCTGCAACTTCTTCCACTCCATAACCCGGCACATTACAAACAGCTATACCTAATTCACCGGCAGCCTAAACACAACAAATTAGTAATAAAATATCATTATAATTAAATAATAATGGAATCTACACAAGATAAATAATAGGAAAGTAAAAGTACATACCTTAACATCAATATTGTCTACACCACTTCCTATTCGTACAATAATCCTGAGCGTTTTAAATTTTTCTAAATCTTCTTTAGTAAGAACAATGGTGTGCCACATTAGAGCCCCCACAGCTTCATTTAATACCTGTAAAAAAAAAAAATTATTTTATAAAAGTGATAAAATACAATAATTAAAAATCTAACCTTTTCGTGAATTTCAGAAGTAGATTGGGCATCACAAAATGCAACAGTAGCTACATCTTTAAGTATAGGCATTTCTATTGAACAATCTCTGCCATCTAACAAGGCGACCAATGGCCTTGTTTGTATGGGACCATTGGTAATTGGTCCAGCACCAGATCCCGCCCCACGTATTGCTGTATCAATTCGTGTTCTTTTTGTGATCATTTTCCGTTTGTCCATTACTGGACTACCAACACGTTTATTTAGTCCTTGCGTTTTGACTGTTTGGGTTTCACAAGAGTGTCTAATACGTCCAAATCATACCGGGCACGAAAGCGGAAAGGAACCTGTAACATAAACAGAAACAAAACTTATAATATCTAAAATATAATATGAAATTAAAATCAAGGTCTAGCTTTCCTTCTTTAATTTATAAAAGATCAAATGAAGGTTTCTTTTAATTTAGAAACTTTTTTAAAGTCCTAAGTCCAAAAGCGGAAAGCGAGAAAATTTTTTTTTACAAAACTTTGTTTGTCAATATCTGGACCATCTAAAAAGCTATAATGTACTTAAAAGTTTGTTTTGAAAGGTTGTTAGATCCGAACCAACCAAACTTAACCGGAAAATAAAAAAGTTTTCTTTTATTTCATACTTTTCGGGGTCAGAGAAAGGGGGCGGGTCGCGCAACAAAATACGGCAAACGGTTGAACAATATATAATATACAGTCTTTATAATTTTTTTTTTTTTTTTTTTAACAAAATCAATCTCGGGAAAAATAATTGAAAACTACGGCTACTTGTTCACAAAAGTAAGTCTATTTATTATTATAATAGAGGCATACTATATTATATGAACATCATTTATAACAAAAATAAATAATAATAACAACTTTCCAATATTTGTTAGCATTAAATAATATTTAAATATATCAAAAGAACAGACTGGCTATAAATTGCAATTCGTTAGTTAATTAAAAATCGACAATAACTTTGAAATTGTTGTCATATTCATGAATTAAATAATACGGAATACAATCATTTAAATCGAAAGTACAAGAGAGCGTGCAGTTTCTTTACCAATCAACTAACTTAATATTTCTTTAACAAAAATAATATTGCTGCTCAGTTGCATAATTACAATTACCTCTCTTTCGGAACTAGATTAGTAAATTTAATCAGAACGATCAAGTTTCATTTATTATTATTATTAATGTAAGGAACACTGCACAATGAATAAATATTATTATAAAAACAATATAATTTACATTACGTGGCTATATAATTTCTCTGATAATACGTTACAATTTTATTTATATGTACCATTGTACCTATATATACCTAGTATGGAAACGTTTGTAAAAATAATTTTAACTATGAACTATTGTTACTAAAATAGCAAATACTGATGAAATAAAACAAAAAATTATACTTGACAATGAAAGCCTGAAAGTTATCTGTATTGAAATTACAATTTTACTGGAATATTTTTGTTCTTCAATATAACAAAAATATTTAACTAGACAATAATTGTAAAACTATTTCAGATAAATAAATGGCATTTGTTTTATTACTATGACCTTCCCGCGTTTGTGCATAGCCATTATAAAGTTTTTCAAACTTTGAGTGCGAGCATAAAACACGTCGAACATCCGACAAAAGAAAACATTTGTGATTTGATTCTCTTTTCAAATAACCGTATTACAATATTAAGCAGGTATTAAAAAAACACACAGGTAACCAAGATAACAATGGAAAAAATAATAAAACGTAGTTATTTAAATCGTGTTGAGCTTTGCGTCATTTATATTTTTGAAGAAATAAAGAACAAATTACATTAGTTCCTAATAATAAATGCATTTTCTTACCGTTACCACCGATGACACGTTTTCCGGGTTAACACACAATAACAATATAATAGTAAGTTAAGTAATAGTAGGTTACGCAAAAAAATTATTGATATTTTTCACAGTATCGATGATAAAATAAATCATTTCATATTTATGGGAATGTGGAAAAATACCAATCTAAATTTACTATAGTGTTCCAACGTCATCATGAAATAATAATATAAAAAAAAAAAACTTAATAAAATTCGTATTTAGTATTATACTTATTGAATAAGCATCAAAGAATATTTTTTGTAAACATGAAATTTTCCACTACTGTTAGCTTATCACATATTATCACGAAATGCACGGTGTAGGTAATATGACGTATATTCGAGTTACCTACCTATAATACTTATAATAATCGGTAAGATGATAAATCATTTAACAGAACTACAACACCAGATACACCAATTGTTTTTAAGCAAATATTTATCCAAGATTAATGAAACACTGTACTTCATAATACAAGTATGTATTCAGTTTTACACAATGTCACAATTTGTTAATTCGTTAAAACCATCGACGATGTATGATCGAATACGAAATTATAGATTACCATATCATTAACATTAATTTAAACGTGTATTTTTTTTTTTTTGTACTCGGCGATCTATTTCTTGGCCAAAATATTTAGACTTCGAACCTATGGTGGAACATGGACACTAATTTACAAATAATATATTTATGGGGAAAACTGTAACATAAAAAGAAGGAAAAAAAACAAGCAAAGGAAAATCGTGATAAAAATAATTCCTTTCAGTAGACCCCGCCCCACTGTACATGCAGTTGAGGAAAAACTTATTTTTAAACTACTTAAAAAACTTAAGAATGGCGGATTCGAAGCGGGGATATTACAAATAATATAAATTAGTTTCGCCAACAAAGTTATACAAAACAAGCATCGGGGCAAGTTGTTTGGACAAAGCTCAGTGGATCCCGAAAAGTTTCGGATGCGCGCGTGTGCATGAGGAAAGTTGATCGGAATGAACTTTGGCACAACTACCGTCTATGTCGCAAAGTTAACGGCAGGTTAACTTCACCACTCCCCACCGTAGTAGTTAAAAGTTTACTTTTAGAACTGAAAAAAAAACTATAAGAAATAAAAACCAAATATGAAACAAAAGCAGAAACCGTCAAACAAGACGACGAATTTTACAACAAAATGGGCTAAGGAAAGGAAGAGTAGGTTTAGAATGGAAATAAGTTTAAATAAAGTGAGTGAGTCCGGTCTTAAATAAAACTCCCGAAGTTCGGCGGTGGCGGCCCTCGGAAAGTTTTACGCCTTTCTATATTTTATGAGCCTCTTATTACTGGCAAAACTTCTATCTGAAAAGTTAACTCATAACCCCTCAACCACTACCGACCATGCACACGCAAGCCGGTGTTCGTCGCCAACTTTGATATTAAACACAATTAAACCGACTTACGGTTCGGACAGCAGAAAATTCCGAAGAAAATCATTATGGAAAGAGAAAACAGAATTATCACAATATAACCGAACTTATACAGATAGCGTAGAAAAACCACACTTCTTTCTCATTTTCACTTTATATCCAATTAATGATTCGATTAACTTCTATCAATAAGTTTCAACAGTTTAAACAAAACTATTTAAAAATTAAATATATAATAAATAATATAAAAAAAAACTTCATTAGAACACAATGTTCATTTAAAAACAATGAATTTCATCATTATTATCGCTGACCTTTATAAATTATATGAATAAATGTATAGTAGGCATTTTCGAATGTAATATGATAAAATATTTTTATTTTTTCGCATATATTTACCTTTTTTTAATTTAATTTATCGATTAATCAATTATTTTCTGTTTAATAATCATAAATTCAAAACACATTATTTTGTTATAAATTATTTCTAGGTTATTCGATACATGTACTCATCGTGTGGCGAAGATAATTAAGACACATTAATTTAGTATAAGACTTTCAAAACATCAATTTAACAACATTTAATTTAAAACGAATACACACCACATATCGAAATTGTTAAATCACTCGATTGAAAAATACATATTAATACTAATTTGTTAAATGAAAAAAAAATACCGTATTCCGGTTATTTAAATAAACCTTTAAACAAGCGTTTTTATTATATTTTAATTTATTATCACAAACATTATTTCTCAGCAAGACAGAACGAACAAAAAAAAAGAATGTTGTTTTTTTTTTGTACTTTAAATTTTGTTTTAAAAGTACCTGTTCAAGTTACTTTTTTTTCATAGGCAGTTTTGTATTAAAATAGAGGAAAGATTATTTTTTATTGAAATATCGCGAGAAAGTTTTTAATTTTTAAGAATGCACACACGTTTGGCCGAATTGTTTGTATAGAGACTGCTGTTATGTTTATACGTGGGAGAAACGAACAGGAGTGGGGAGTAAGAGGAGCAGAGGTATAGTCGAAGTGTATCCATGAATGTGTGTGCGTCGTCGGTCGCTCATTGTGTTGTGCGGGTTCGAACGAATTTGTTATTGGCGACGCTTAAACTTGGTTTTTATTTTATTTGTTGCCCTCAATCGATACAACATACGACGATGAAATGCGCAAATCGTTTATTTATAGCAAACTCTGATAATGTATTTTTTTTCTTTCGAAAGTTTTCAAAACGGGTTTTTTTTTTTTGAAAATTTGTAATTTAAATTTCGGCTATCGTCGGCGGTAAAGGAACGCGCGAAGGAATTTAAATGACAATGTTGCATAACTAAACCACTTGTGTACCGGTAAAAATGACGTCAGATAATCACGAACGTGTATATTTAATGGAGCAATAAGTACTGATTATATACACGTTTAACATATTTTTTACTATTACAATGTTTCAGTATTTCAATTAAGTGTTCATCTTGATTCGGGCGAACTTACGAAACGGGGGCGAAGAAGGGATTTTCATCAACGAGAGGCTAATTTACATAAATGCTTTACAAGTTGATCGTAATATTATTTTCGTAAATTTTATAGGTACATAGGTATAAAGGGTATACAGAGTGTATATAAGGTTATGTTGGCTATATTGGTAAAATATTCTTGGAACGACTGCATTCGAATTTTGTACTGTCAAAAGATGGGTCGATTTTATAATACTGTGTTAAGAATTTTAATTGGTCGCGGTTATTCCTGGATACAAAAAAACAAAAAATTACAATATTTCTCATCGTATAAAGAACTATTATACATTTTAAACGCATATCGAGAGTATAATAGTGTCTGTCGGCTACGGCAATATTAATAATCGTTAAAAAATATATTATCGTCATGACGATAGTCAGCAATAAAATCGAAAAAAATAAAAAGAATTATAATATATTGCGTACAGAACAGAGGAAGAAA